CAAACTCCCTGGTCCACACACCCAGGCCTGAACCCTTTGTCAAGTCAGAAAATAGCTTCTTATCACTGCTGGAAACACTCATGTAGCAATAATTGAAGTTGGCCCTTACCTGGGGGCTGTGCCTCTGGACACTGAACTGGGGGTTGCCTGAGAAATGGTCACAATGTCTTCGTCCCCTCCGTCCTCATAAAAGCTCGCTAGTGCGATCTGAAACAGAGAGGTAGTACCTTTGGGACCCTTAAAAAGGCCTTCACTTAACACATATCTCCTCTGAGCACAAAGGAATAAAGACAGGCTCATACTTACATATCCAGGGGCCATAGAAAATCACACCAACAAGTAAAAGCCCAACTATTAGCTTTCATATCACCTGAAACAAATTCTACTCACTAACGGAAGCAGAAGGAAGGCTGGGATGGAAGACACTCCTCATTCTCATTTTATGAAGAAATATGATCTAGTATAAGCAGCACACATTTATTGAGCACTTATTTATGTGCCAGGTTGTTCTGAGCATTGTACATGTGTTAATTCATTTAATCCTCACAGAACTCTATGCTATTAGTACTATTATCATTTCACTTTATAGCTGATACAGAAGCACTAAGTTAAAAAGAAATTGTCCAAGGTTACATAGTTGGTAAGGCATGGAACTAGTTTCGATCCTAGGCAGTCTGCTCAGGCCCTCACTCTTAAGCTCTTCCATTATAACCAGGAGTCAGGAACTATGTCAATCCAGGTTGCTACTTTTCCTTTCTTTCTGAAGTCTTGTCCTAATCTGTGAAATGGGGATACCCATCCCACCAACCTTGCACACTAGATGAGATGATCTACTAAGATTTATGAATACTCATGTCTTAGGTCTATACCTACAGAAGGAATATGGGAGTTCTCTGGACATCTGTCACTGTATAACTCTTACCAACTTAATGGATAGGCATTTACCACTTACTTTGCACAAATAAATGAAAAAGAGCACTGAGGTCATAAAGATGAAATAGACCTGGCTCCTGTCCTCAAGGTCATGAGTCTTACAGGAGGCAGTGAGCTGCCATGGGACATAACAAATTGGCTGGGAGGCAGTGTGTTGTCACAGGACATGCACTGAACTGGCATTCAGGGAGCCTACATTGAAGTCCTGGCCCTGCTAGGGAAGTCACATCATATGCATGAGTCTCAGTTTCCCCACCTATACCATGAGGAGAATGGGACAGATGACCTGCTGACCATAATAATGTGATTTTAGGTCTTTCAGGCAGAAACTCTTCTGTTTATTTCTGCCCAGCACAGCGACTTCACACTGTCTGCACAGGTGTGATGCTTTACTAATTCTCTTATGTCCGGGAAGCAATTTACATTTGGCACCAGAGCCAGTTCAAATCCCAATTGAGATACTGGCTATGTGACCTTGGGCACATCCCTTGCCCTCTGAGCTTCCAACCCCTCATCCATAAAATGGGGCTAGTCTTTACCTCATGGTGTTGCCAGGATGGTGGTAAAAGCTTGGGTTCTGTTTGCTTAGAATTAGAGAGAACTGAGCTCTCAATCCTATCTCTTCTGCGTGGCAGTTAGTGACGCCTTGAACAAGTTACTTAATCTCCCTAAATCTCGGCTGCAAAATGCTAAGGTTAAATAACCTAAAACATGTAAAGCAGTTAGAACAGCACTTGCCTTATGGTAGGTACTCAATAAATATTAGTCATCATCATCATCATCAACCTAAGACGTAGGCTGGCCAAGAACATTTATGCAATTCTTTCTATAGTTAATTACTGAGGGCTTATTACGTGCCAGGTATCGTTCTAGAGCAGGCAGTGGGGATTGATCAGTGTACAAAAATCCCTGCCTCGTGAAGCTTAACATAAGTCGTCTTAATTAACCAGAAAGTATTTCGTGAATATTTAGCACATGACAGTGGACTAGAAAGTAATTTCCATGAGACTCCCATTTTACAGATAAATTAACTAAGAAGGGTGAAGAGGCTCCATCCAACCTTGCGCCACCAGACCAGTGGTAGTTTCCCCCAGCAATCAGATAGGAGGGGGCGTGGGCCAGGTCGCGGGCCCAGCTCCTCCCTCCACTGGCTGCCGGGCTTCGGAAATGGAAACGATTGACAACCTGGTCTGCAGCGCTGCTTCACCCAAGAGCTGGTCATTCGGACCAGCCGGGTCTCCAGAAGACTCTCGGCGCGGCAGCCACGCCCCCAGATACCCTCCCTTCACGCCGGCTGCGGCAGTGCCCAAAGTCTTGCTGACGCCGTGAGCAAGCCAGACAGAGGGAGAAACCGAGGCACGGCAGAGCAGGCTGGGGCTAGTCCGCATTCCCCCACTCCCCAGCCGAGCGGGCGACGCGTGACAAGCGGACCCAGGACCATGAGGCCTGGGTCCGGCAGCGGCCGAGCGGGGATGACTGTGCGCTTCGGCCGCCGCGGGCTTAGTGCGCCGGACGCCCGCGCTCCGCAGTCCCCGGTCCACCCGATGTAGTCTGCCTCGCGGTACTACCTGCAGGTCCCAGCCGGCCGACTCAAGGAAGAAGCGGGCCCGGTCCTCCTCGGCGTCTGTCACCGCCACGAACTCCCTCAGCGCCTCCTGTCGCTCCGCCGCCATCTTCGCCCTGTGCGCTTCCAAAACCGCTCCGGCTGCCGCGTTCGGCTGGCGGGTCAATCGGGCCCAGCCGCTGAGAGCCCGCCCGCAGGCCCCGCCCCACGCGGTGCCTCACGCAAAGCCCTCCGTGCGGGAAACCCCGCCGCTCCGCGCCCCCTCTGGCGGCCGCGGCGCAGACCGCAGCCTAACCGCACTGGGGGAAGCCGAGCCGAGGATGGGAGGCGCGGCGGATATTACACGTGGGATCAAGGATCCCTGAAGGAATCAGCGTGGCAATTATTCACTGACTCATCACCTCATTTCATTAAGTTATTCATTCATTCATTCACTTACTTGTTCAAACATTTCCTGAGAGCTATCAATGGCCCGATGCTCTTCCAGGGCTGTGTTTATGGCAGCAAAGGTCCCTGCCCTCTTGCTGCTTACATTATAAAGGGGCGGCTGGGGCAACCAGACGGTGAATTTAACATTCCTCTGCTCACAACCCTGTCCTGCTTCTCCATCTCACCCTGCATAAAAGACAGTCTCACGTCCTGCAAGGCCCACGTTAAATGGGCCAGCTCCTCCATCCCATCTCCTATGGGTCCCGCTGGCTTCCTCTGCCCCTCTTGCAGTTCCTGGAATGTGCCAGGCATGCATTTGCCTTGGGACCTTTGTTTTGGCTGCTCCCTTTGTCTGGAACACCTTCCCCTCACTGACCTCTTCACTTTCTTCAGGCCTTTGCTCCAGGGGCACCTTCTCAGACACAATCCTGTCTTTTAGGTCCTTCAGCTTCTTTGCCCTCTTGCCTCCTGCTGCCCTGTCTGGGATACTTCCCTTCCTCTTCCCTTTGTCAGCTCCTGCTCATCCTTCAGGTTGCAGGCTCGGTCAGAACCCCTCTTGATAAAGATATGAACAACACAAAGTCCAACCTTCCCTCAACTGACAGAGTAGTTTGCCTGGAAAATTCGGTGTATATTAAAACCAAGCAAAAAATACTTTAAATATATATGTCAAACGGATTAGGGTCTAGGTTTGGGTATTAGGAGCAAGTGTGCAGCTGTACTAGGTCCTGGCAGGATGTGTGAAAGGAGGGGCTGTTCTTGGTGGTGTGAGACTCTCCTTTCCATGGCAAGGCCACCCAGCACCAGCTCTAGTCCCCAGTCCCTGCCCCCTTCATTGCTTTGTTGACCTGAAATGCCCCCCAACTCTCCAGAAAGTTCAGGAGGGTGGAGACTCACTCTGGACTGTGCTCACACATGGTTGCCAGTAAAGTCTTTCCACCTTGGAAACTGACAAAGATTTGCCCTGGCTTAAAGATCTGGGGGTGATTGGCCCCCCAAGACTCAGTTCCTTGGCTGATATTTGAGTTTTTGAACCTCATTGTCATCCCCTCTTCACTTTTGTGCCACTGGGGAAAGCCCTTTCTTAGCCAGGGATTCCTGGCTCCCCCTCCAGAGGCCTTGGGGGCATCCTTCCCCATAACACTACCCGAAGCACTTACTATGCCCCAGACACTCTAAAAAGAGCATTAAGTATGCCAACTCATCCATCCTCACGAAAACCCTATGAAGTATTATCATTTCCATTTTACAGATGGCGAAATCTAGACTCCTAAATGAGTTTGAACCTAGATATTGCACAGCTCCCGAGTCTGTGTTCCTAACCATTGCTCCACCCTGTCTCTCCTTGGCCTTGCAGGACTGTACTTACTGGCTGATTCCTATGTCTGGTTTCTGGAGGCAACAAATGACCACAAATTTAGTGTTTTAAAACAACACAAATGTATTCTCTCGTAGTTCTGGAGGCCGGAAGTCTGACATCAAGGTGTTGGCAGGGCCACGCTCCTTCTGGAGACTCTTAGGGGAGAATCCATTCCTTGCTTCTTCCAGCTTCTGGTGGCTGCCGGTATTCCTTAACTTGGGGTCACGGCACTCTAGTCTCTGCCTTTGTGGTCACTTTGCTTCCCCTCTTCTTCTATATCAAATCTCCCTCTGTCTCTCTCTTACAGGGACACTTGTGATCTCTTTTAGGGCCCACCTAGATAATCCAGGAAAACCTCCCATATCAAAATTCTTAATTTGATCACACCCACAAAGTCCTCCCCCCCCCCATATAAGGCAACATATATAGGTCCTAGAGATGCAGGTCATGGATATCTTTGGGGGGGTACTTTTCAGCTGACCTTACCTACCCTCTCTAATGTCTGATATCACTCAGTGATTTATTCAATTCTCAGAGTAAATCAGTGTCCTCTTTGGTTTAGTTCAAGCTGGGGTTTTTTTTGTTTGTTATAATGAAAAACACCCAGACTAATCCACTGCCCACCATGGTAGGTGCTAATACATGTTCGCATGGAAAGAGAAAAGAGACTTCACATGTATTGAGTGTTCACAGTGCACACAGCACACAGTAGGCTCTCAGGAAATGCGGAATTGTATTGGTTCTTAAACAAGGCAGAGAGGTCCTCAATGTTTCTTGAGGGGAAGTGACAGATTAGTCACTAAGGGCACCCAGTGAGGAAGCAGAGGCTTCAGGGTTAGAAGTCAAGCGTGACCGACTCATGGGCACGCAAACGTCTCCCTACATCAGGGCTTTTCAACTTCCGCACTGCTGACACTTTGCATTACATAGTTCTTTGTTGTAGAGAAACAACAGCACCCCTGGCCTCTACCCACTAGATGGTGGTAGCATCCACCAAAAATGTCTCTAGCATTGCCAAAAGTTCCATGGGAGCAAAATGACTCTTCTTGAGAACTGCTGCCCCGTGTTACTGCTGCCCTAGTGGAGGTGGTGGTGGGAAGAGGCGCTGGGAATTAAACTTCACTGTTCTACATAGCAAGAAGGAGGCTGCCTTTATGCCACTGTGGCAAAGATTACTGGTTATTTCCTGATATCCACCCTCCAGTTCAGCAGGGCACATTGCTGCCAGAATAAAGACTACATTTCCCAGCTGATTTTGCAGCTAGGTATGACCACGTGACCACATTCCAGCCAATTAAAGGTGAGGTGGGCCAGTTCCTGACTGTGCCCTTAAAGGAGAGGATCATGCTCCCTTCCCCCACCTCTTCCCCAGTCTGGCTGCCTGGAATGTGGACCTGGTAACAACAAGATCAAGCAATCCCTTGCTCAAAACCAGGGAGCCCCAGTATTGCCTGGCTTGCTTATGGCCGGATGTTACTAGAGAAATCATCTTTTTTCTGGTTTAAGCCTCTATTACTTAAGAGCCTTGTGACAACTGCTAGACCTGCATTCTAACTCTTACACTCCCCCAGCCAGCCACAGGGGGAAGGAAAGAAGGCAGGAAATGGGGAGAGAAGAGTGTAGATGGAGGCGCACAGGTGGTCTGTCTGGTCGAGCTCAGAGATGCTCAGGAACACCTTCTGGGAAGAAGACTCAGAGTTAGATATTTGAGGACGAGGTGGAGAAAAGGGGAGGACACCCCAGATGGGCTGCAGCATGGGCAAGGGCAAAGGGGAGAGACCCAAGCCAGGGCCTGAAGGACAATGAGGGCTCGAAGAGATTGAGAGCAGATAGGAGACACATCAGGGGGAGCCCAGTGCAAAGAGGGGAATTTCACTAGGGGAACTGACACCAGATTTAGGAATCTAGGAGTTCGGCATGAGGCCTAGGGAGCATCCAGAGGCTGAGAAATAGTTAAGGAGCCTGGAGGGTCCACACTGGGACCTACCCTCACCCTTGCCCCTTGCCCCATGCTAAGATGTGAGGCTCTGCTGGGCCCAAGGTCTTGAAGTCTTCTTGCTCAGAGCTTCTCCGGCAGGCAGCCAGGGTCAGTAGGAGTGCAGCCAAGGTCACTGCCTTCAGCCCCAGGACCACAGGTGTGAGCACAGACAGGAGGCCTGGGGGACAGAGGGGAGAGCTCAGGAAGGACCCCCGGTGGGTGCCCCATGGCCCACACCTCAGTACCCACGGGCAGGGACGGGCCCAGCTGCTGTATAACCTCTGCAGCCATGTCCTTTCTACCTTGGGAGAGGAGATCGAAGAACACCTCTCCCTCTGCCCCGGGCCCAAAGAAGCCTTGCCCCATATCCTCTCTGTACCTGTGGTCATCTCAACAGCATCCCTAACCTCTGATAATAATAGAAACCTGCACTCACGTGTTGTCTGTCTCAGACCCGGAGCCAAGCTCTCAAGCTCTTCTTCTTCCTCGTTGCCTAATATAATCCTCAAACTAATCCTACAATGTAGGCTATTGATAAAGACACAGACCCAGAATGGGTGTGGCCCAGGGCCAAACGTGTCAAAGAAGTGAAGGGCCCCGGGTGGTCTGGCTCCCATGCATGGCAGGGACAGGGCTGGGCCTCAGGAAGGCTAATCCGACCCCCTGATCACAAGCTCCAGCCAGTTATTGGCTGATGCCAAACGTTACCAGGTGATGTGCCAGGCACAGTTCTGGACACTTGGTGTGTATGATCTTGTTGGATCCATGCTCAACCTCAGGAGGGAGGCTCTCTGACCCGTACCCCCACCCCTGCCCAGTTCGTAGAGTCAGACACCAGAGATTCAAAGATTGAGATGTCCTGCCGATGATCACACAGCCAGAAAGGGCCCCCTGTCCAGAAGGCCTGGCTACAGAGCCATGTTCTCTGGCGCTGTTGTGCATGGCCTCAGTGTGTCCCCAGACTCTGAATCACGGGGAGCTCACTATCTCTCAAGCAACACTGCCCACTGATCAATGGGATGGTGCTAGCTGTTAGGAAGTCTTTTCTTGATTGAGCTGTTCCTGGTTCTGCAGTGGAGATGGAGTCCTGGGGACTTTCTTGGTGGCAGGTGAGCCCCAGAAGTCTGGGACTGCTCCCTTCTCATGACCAGGCCATCCATGCCCCCCTCCCCTTGCCTGTGGGGGACTCATTCACTCCATTGAGGTAGGTGGACTTACCTGTTGGAGATATCCTGGCTACATGTTCGCCAGAGAATGCTGCCTCTTGGGAAGAGGTGGGTTTCGCTGCAAGACAGAGAAGCTTTCTCACACCCCCTTTCATCATTCTCTCCTGTCACTTCCCGAGTCCCTGTGCCAGGATCTGGGGCCACTGAGACGAGTCCGCCAGTTTCTACCTGGGTGGGGGCTAGAAGTTAAACCCTGCATTTGTGGTGTATGAACTTAGACCTGCTGGAGCATCTCTGGGGTACAGATAATGTCTGATTCATTGCAGTGTCTCCAGCACCTCGAACAGTGCAGGACACTCAACTAGCATGCGATAGGTGTTTGCTGAATTGTTAACGGGCTATTAAAAGTTCTGTAGAGCCCCAAATGGGGAGAAATTAACTCTGCCTGGGGGTTGGAGAAAGTTTCAAAGAGGAGGGGCCATTTGTATGGGGCCTTGAAGGATGAGTAGGAGTTCTCAGAGAAAAGGAGAAAGCATTTCAGGTAGAGGGAACAGCTTATGTAAAGACATGGAAGCTGAAAAGAGATGGCTTGTTTGAAACATGGTGAAAAGTTCCTTGGGGACCACCTGCTCCTCTCCCCTGACACCTCCTGGATCACCTGTCTCACCTTTCACTCTCAGCGTGGTACCCTGTCCAGAGAGGTATTGCCTATTGGGTTTCCTATGAAACTTTATGCAGTAATAGGTGCCAGCATCCTCAGTGGAGATGGCTCCCAGAAGAATGCTGAAGTCATTCTTGGAGGCCCGCACTGCTGTCACGTTGGGCTGGGAGATGCCTTCAAAGTTGTAAATGGCCTCTCGGCTCAGACCGGCCCCCCGGAACCACCTGATGGGTCCAGGGGGCCCGTCTCCAAGCACTGTGCAGTTCAGGAAGGCAGTGTCTCCGGCGGTCACCAACACCAAGTCCTGGGGCTGGATGATCCAGAGGTATGGCTTGGGGTCCCCAGCTCCTAAAGCCAAAGGGAGAGTCTTTGTTGGATTCCTTTGTGCTGTTCCTCCATCGTCCACTCATTCCCTCCTCTGAGTTTTCCCTCCCTTTCCCCTTTCTCAATTTCTTCACTCTCCCACTCCCTCCTGCTTTCTTTCATCACTCACTAGTTGATTCATTCAGTAAAGGAGTTATGGGTATCTACTATGTTCCGATGCTCAGATCGGGGAAAATGAATCCCACGAGGCAGGCCAGTACCCTGCCCTGAGACTGCTCTCAGGCTGATGATGCAGCTGGAAAGAAAATTGCCCAGAGGCTGGAAACGCAGAGGACTGCAGGGCTCCAGGGGAGGCATGTCACAGCTTGGAAGGCGCTGGGAAGCCTTCCCCAAATGCCCGCACCAAGTTAAAATGAAGTCCCCACACAGCAGACACTCTCCGTGTGCCAGGTTATGGGGTGGTTCATAAGCATCTGTTCTCCTATTTAATCACCTGACTGACCCTTGAAGTACAGATTTTGTTGCCTATTTTATAATTAAGCACTTGAGATATATATAGCAGCTTCAGTGACTCATTTAAGAACATACCGCTATTGAATGACAGGTCCAGGATCTGTGTCTCCGGGTCACTCTTGGTGGACTTATAGGTACCACGACTGATTACTTGGGAGTGGGGTAGATCACACTATCAGCACCAGGTCTTGACTCCACTGCAGTGATATGACATGTCTACACCCTCCCCATGGCCTCACGGTGGAAGAGCAAACTTCCTTGTTCCTTGGCTCAGAACTGAGCCATGTGATTTGCTTTAGCCAGTGGGGTGCAGAGGCGTCAGCGTCAGACGTGCTTGGCGAGTTGGGACTGGCCCTCTGGCTTCTGCCACCTCCATGAGAAAACATGCCCCACCCACGATGTAGCTGCTTCCTCTCGGGCCTGGGTCCTGGCTTGCGACATGGGGAGTGGACCCACCCCAGCCACACGCAAATATGCACGTGAGATACAAATACATACTGTTGTGTGCCACTGAGGTTTTGTGTGATACAGCATGGCTGTGGATGAGGGTGACTGCCACAGGGAGACAGACCAGACGAATATGCGCCCTGCAGGGCCTCATACTCACCCTTCACAAGCACCGAGGTGCCCTCATCCGCCTTCGTTTCTGAGTGTTCACTCAGACCATCAGACCTCACACAGTGGTAGGTTCCAGCATGCTCCTTGGTGACATTGAGGATGTAGATGGAGTAGTCGCAGTTCAGTGGCTCTGATGTCCGTTGGATCATGGGCACCACCCCGGGGAAGAAGCCACGTTTGAAGTTATAAATTTCTTGCTGGTCCTGAGAGCTGACCTTGACCCATTTAATCATATCATCAACGCAGGAGCCGACCGCCGTACACCTCAATATGAGCGTCTCACCCTCTGCCACCAGCATGGGGCCCTCCGGCTGTAGCGCATGCCACTCGTTCCCATTGCTCTGCTCAGAGGCTCCTACAACAGAGGAAGAAAGGCCTTGTGCTGGGCCAGAGGAGGGTTTTGTTGGAGAGGGAAGGGAGAGAGTGGATGAGGTGGCTGGCTGCAGGGCGAGAATGGAGCTATCGAATGGGAAGCCTACAAATGATAAATAATGCGTAAGTGCTCACCACGTGCCAGGCGCTGCACGCATCATCACATTTTCTTTGTCACATATTCCTCACAATGCTCCTGTAGGTAAACAGAATTGTCCCCATTTTATAACAGAGGAAACTGGGAGCCCAGAAATGCTAGGTAACTTCTCCAGATCATCTGTTAGGGGCTGAACCGTGTCCCCAGAAGCATATGTTGAAGCCCTAGCCCCCAGCGCTGCAGAATGTGGCTATGTTTGGAGCTAGGGTCTTTGAAGAAGTAGCTAAGTTAAAATGAGGTCGTTAGGGTAGGCCCTGATCCAGTCTGGCGTGCGCCCTTATAAGAAGAGGCGATTCGGACATAGACGTGCACCTGGGGAAGACCACGTGAAGACACAAGCAGAAGGTGTCATCTACAAGCTAGGGAGAGAGGCCTCAGAAGAAACCAACCCTGCCGATAACTTGATCTAGGATTTCTAGCCTCTAGAGTAGTGAGAAAATACATTCACGGTGTTTAAGCCACCCAGTCTGTGGTACTTTGTGATGGCGGCCCAAGCAGTCTCATGTGTCATGCAATAAGAATGTGACAGATGGCCCGGCGCGGTGGCTCACGCCTATAATCCTACCACTCTGGGAAGCCGAGGTGGGCCGATTGCTAGAGGTCAGGAGTTCGAAACCAGCCTGAGCAAGAGCGAGACCCGTCTCTACTATAAATAGAAACAAATTAATTGGCCAACTAATATATATAGAAAAAATTAGTGGGGCATGGTGGCGCATGCCTGTAGTCTCAGCTACTCGGGAGGCTGAGGCAGGAGGATTGCTTGAGCCCAGGAGATTGAAGTTGCTGTGAGCTAGGCTGATGCCACGGCACTCACTCTAGCCTGGGCAACAGAGTGAGACTCTGTCTCAAAAAAAAAAAAAAAAAAAGAATGTGACAGAGCCTTGTTCCGAGCTCTTGCAGCCTGTTTCTGGAACTCCCGCTTTTTACCCTCAAATGCCACACTCCAAAGACATAGGTTTGTGTATTGTGGTGTTCAGTGTGTATACCCTCCCTGCCTCCTGTGAATTCTTGAACAAACTGCAGTTCTTGTTACCATGTCGTGAAGTGGGCTTATTTCAATGACAGGTTGAACTGTTGAGTTTGGCCTCCGCATGGGCACAGAGAAAAAGGGCTAAGGCCTCCTATGGTAGTTCTTTGACATCTGGGTGATGAACATCATCACATTTACTCTTCCCAAGAACTCAATAAGGTAGATGCCATTATTATCTCCATTTTTGAGATGAGAAAGAAAACGAATGCTCGGGGAGGTAAAGAAATGAGGTGAACCATGTATTCAGTAGGTGTTTTGGCCAGGACTTGAACTCAGGTGAGGTGACTTAAGATTCTGCTCAAATCAAGATCATCAGCTTTTTTTCCTTGAGTTTCCCTATTGTCTGTGTTCCCATTGGCCCTCGTGAATAACTCGGTCTGACTCCAAGATGCAAGTTTGCAGTATATTGTGGTGTTTCTCAGTTGTGAATAAGGCAGGAACAGTAAGGAGGTGAAGCAAGCATTCCCTTCTAAGAGGATCTAGCCGAGATTTGTGGAATCTAAATTCTTTTTCTGCCTGTCTTCAGCTGGACATGGGCTAGGAACCACTGAGAACTGCCTCACAGTTGTCAACAAGTGACACTCCATGTTCAATCCTAGCAATTCCTTTTGTTCTTTTTTTTTTGAGACAGTCTCACTCTTGCCCAGGCTAGAGTGCCGTGGCGTCAGCCTAGCTTACAGCAACCTCAAACTCCTGGGCTCAAGTGATCCTCCTGCCTCAGCCTCTCAAGTAGCTGGGACTATAAGCATGTGCCACTATGCCCAGCTAATTTTTTCTATATATATATATATATATATATTTTTTTTTTTAGTCAGCCAATTAATTTCTTTCTATTTTTTTATTTTATTTTTTTAGTAGAGACAGGGTCTCACTCTTGCTCAGGCTGGTTTCGAACTCCTGACCTTGAGCGATCCGCCCGCCTTGGCCTCCCAGAGTGCTAGGATTACAGGCGTGAGCCCCTGTGCCCGGTCTCCTTTTGTTCTTGATGTCATTAGTCCCAAGAAGTTCAGCAACATCTCCCCCCAGATATTATCTGAGTTGTAGATCTATCATTGTGAATCCTTTCTGTTGGTTTTTCCACCAGCCTTGGGTCATCTCCTCACACACAGGCACTGAAGAGTGCCCATTACTCAGCACAGGGCTGGGAGTGCTGCCTGTTCCCACCAGCCTAACGGGCAAACCTCATGATTGTCAGGGCACTGGGGAGGGTACACAGGAGAGAGTACTCAACCCAGAAAGGAGGGTTCTGGTCTACCTAACAAATCTTAAAAGCAAGGCCCCACATTGATAAAATATAACATATTTTTGTGAAGTTTATAACACACATACATAAAAGTTGTGACCAAAGTAGAATAAAGACTGGGAAGGGGGAAATATTAGTACACCAATGTAAGTTTCTTTCTCTCTTCCCTTCCCTTCCTTTTTATCACCTGAGTATTTATTATTTCTAGGTGTTGGCTACATTTCAAGTCTTCTAGCTATTTCAAAAAATATTACCCTATTGTGAACTATAGTCACCCTACTCTGCTATCAAACATTAGAACGTATTCCTTCTATCTAACTGTGTGTTTGTACCCATTAACCAACCTATCTTCTTCCCCCACCCCATATACCTTTCCCAGTATCTGGTGTCTGTCATTCCACTCACCTCTATGTGATCAACTGTTTTAGCTCCCATGTATAATTGAGGATATGCAATATTTGTCTTTCTGTGCCTGGCTTATTTCACTTAACACAATGATCTCCAGTTTCATCCATGTTGCTGCAAATGACCGGATTTCATTCTTTTTATGGCCAAGTAGTATCCCACTCTGTATATACACCACATTTCTTTATCTATTCATCTGCTGATGGACACTTAGGTTGATTCTGTATCTTTGCTATTATGAATAGTGCTGTAATAAACATGAGGGTATGGGTATCCCTTAGACATATTGATTTTTTTCCTTTGGGGAAATACCCTGTAGTGGGATTGCTGGATCACATGTTCTGTTTTTAGTTTTTGGACAAATGACCATACTGTTTTCCATAATGGCTGTGCTAATTTATATTCCCACCAATAGTGTATAAGAGTTCCCTTTTCACCACCTCCTTGCCAATATCTGCTATTTTTTGTCTTTTTGTTTTTAGCCATTCTAACAAGGGTAAGATGATCTCTCACTGTGGGGTTTTGATTTGCATTTTCCTGATTAATACTGTTGAGCATCTTTTCATATGCTTGTTGGCCATTTGTATGTTTTCTTTTGAGAAATATCTATTCATGTTATTTGCCGATTTTTAAATGGAATTATTATTATTTACTGTTGAGTTGTTTGAGTTCCTTGTATATTCTGGATATTAGTTTCTTGTTGGATGAATAGTTTGTGAATATTTTATCCCATTTACAGGTTGTCTCTCCACTGTATTGATTGTTTCTTTAGCTGGGCAGAAGCTTTTCTAGTTTAATATAGTCCTATTTGCTTATTTTTGGTTTTGTTGCCTGTGCTTTTGTGGTCTTAGCCATAATCAGATCTTACATTTAAGTCTTTAATCCATCTTGAGTTGGTTTTTGTATATGATGAGAAATAGGGGTCTAATTTAATTCTTCTGCATATGGGTATCCAGTTTCCCTAGCACTATTTATTGAATTAGAATTGTTAGATATTTTTGCTGGATTGATCTCTGTATTATTATGTAATGACTATTTGCCTTTCTGTTTTTTGTCTGTTTTTTTTTGTTTTGTTTTGTTTTTATTGTTTTTGACTTAAAGTCTGTTTTATCTGTATAAGTATAGCTACTCCTGCTTGCTTTTGGTTTCTGCTTGCATGGAATATCTTTTTCCATCCCTTTACTTTCAGTTTATATGTCTTTACAGATTTAGTACATTTCTGGTGGGCAGCATATAGTTGGATCATGCTTTTTTTTTTTTTTTTTTTTTTTAAATCCACTCAGCCAGTCTGTATCAAGTGGAGAATTTAATCCATTTGCATTCAAGGTTATTATTGATATGTGAAGTTTTGTAGCAATTTTGAAACAAATTGCTAGTTTTCTGGCTGCTGTGTATATTCTTTGTTCCTTTCTTTCTCTTTGTCATTGTGGTTTGGTGACTTTCTGTAGTGGTACCATGTAAGTCCTTTCTCTTCCTCATTTTCATGTTTCCTTTATAAGTGAGTTTTATACTTTCATGCATTTTTGTGATGGCACATGTTGTCCTTTTGCTTCCAGGTTTAGGATTCCCTTGAGCATTTCTTGTAGGGCTGGTCTAGTGGTGATGAATTTTCTCAGCTTTTGCTTGTTTGGGAAACATTTTATTTTTCCTTCGTGTAAGAAGAATATTTTTGCTGGTTATAATATCCTTTATGGACATTTTTTTCTCCTAGTATTTTGAATATATCATCACATTCTTTCCTGGCCTGCTAGGTTTCTGCTAGGAAATTCACTGTTAGTTTGATTGGGGTTCTTTTATAGGTGACTGGACACTTTTTTCTTGCTGTCTTTAGAATTCTTTGTCTTTGACTTTAGACAGTTTGACTATAATGTTCCATGGAGAAAACCTTTTTGAATGTGTGTTGGGGCAGGGGGCATCTCTGAGTCTCCTGTATCTAGATGTCTAAATCTCTTATTAGAGCCAGGAAGTTTTCTATTATTTTGTTAAACAGGTTTACTAACTGTTTCCTTTTTTCTTTGTCTCCTGGGACACTGGTAATTAGATTATTTGGTTACTTTATGGCGTCCATATGTCACAAAGGCTTTGCTCATTCTTTTAAATTCTTTTTTCTTTATTTTTGTCTGACTGGGTTATTTCAAGAGACCTATC